CAAATCTTTTTCCAATAATTTCAAGCAATTGCTTCAAATCCGTACTAATAAAAAAATATTTGGAAACTACCGTTAGCTCTTTGTACTTCCAATCAATTAAAATTGACGCAACGAAAAATTTACTCACGCAATTCGATGGCAGTCGTCATTGGCAACATCATCGCCGCGACGACTGGCAGAATGATAAAATTCCACGTCATGTCGGAATGTTTCGTTCCCAGTTCACGATCGTCGAAAAGTCTCGGGGTATGTAGGATTGAAATGACTTCGGATAGCTGACTGTGAACTGGAAGGAACGGTCATTGATGCAGTCTATTTAAGCGGGACGCATGCCCCCTCCACTCGTACTTTCGGGAAACGCGTGTCTCTTCTCTGAGGATTACGCGAAAAAAATCGTCAAATAATATGCTAAGCGAGTACAGAAGCGGAATGATCTCGAGGTGACTCAGTCTGTCGCTGGTAAACCGTGGAAAACTTTATCTGTCTGTACGTGCTTTCATTCACGACAAGAATCAACGAAATTGCGATTACGCATAGTAAGGACTCGAAGAAAGATTGCTCCTGAATGTGAGATTTCAGATGAAATTCTTAGAATTTTTATTCAAGGTTACTCCCCTATTGAACCGATATCGATTGAAACGTAACTCGTAAAATTCGTCTGTATTTGATAATTGGGCATTCTCTTAAATGATTCAGTACTAGTTACCATTTCTTGGAACTGCTTTCCTTGTAATTATTCGAATAGTTTTGCTGCCAGCCGCAGTAACGAGTATTTTTTTTTCTTGAACAATGCATCCAGGAAAGTGATCCACACGTTTTCGCTACAATGTGGCGCAAACTGGCATTGTTGGACCTGAATTTGTCTTGCCGAGTTCCTTTCACAGACTTTCGGAAACGTCTGTCATTTAGCAGATATTGTTCTGAGAAGCCTGATTTGGAGGACAATAAGGCATGACTCGATTCACGAATAGCAAAATACCTTTGTTCCTGAAATATTCACAGTTCCTACACTTCATCTTGCGAAGGATATTTTCCATTATTCTCTTTACAACATAAACATAGGTAGACGTTTGCCAGTGCTGTTGTTTTTTACGTGACAGGTTCACAGTATTAGAGTGAAGCTCGCTCCTTATTTGCCTATCGCAGTCATTTCTTTATGCGCCACTTAACGCGTTCACTCTGAAAGTAAGAGTATTTAGCATACAACAGTTCGTTTCCTTCCTCTTTCCTCCGAGGATCAGAATCGTCATAGATGTAACGATAAATTGTATACGATTTCCACAAAGTTCTAATGACAGATTGAATTAATCTACTTAAATTCATAGTAAAATTATTAGTGACGCGTTTATAAATTATCTGATTGCTATTTATTATCATTATATTTTCTTTTTTATTGGTGATACATAATTGTGTCGTTTATTTTTTTTCTATCCCCTTAAATGGATAGGACGGTCACGCTTGGCATGGATTATTCCATTCAAATGAAAAATATTAATGAAGGTAACCAACATTGTACGTCATTGCTGAGATCTTTCCTTATAGATACTCATACTAATGGTTTAATATTATCGAGCATATTCATTGATCATATCAGTCTGGTATCAATGCCTAGTTGTTGCTCTACTACCATTGCATCTATTAATAACTGGCATACTAGTTTACATACTTGAGATTTATTTTTATACTTTGGATGAACTTTATAGATTCAATGAACAGGGCAAAGGGAATATATTCTTAGTTTTTATTTGTTACTGTTCTTGTATCTTTCTCGTTTGGATGCCTTTTTCTAATCGAATTTAATTTTTATAGGATAGGAAATAGGTGGAGAAAGATTCTTGTGCTAGTGAAAAGTGAAAGGAACACAATAATGGAAGGTTAAACTTTATTTGCAAAAAAAATTAACACAGTATTAAATATTTGTATGCCTATAAAATACAGTATAACTTATCGTGAAAACAAACCTCAATGCTGCAACGTGAAGATCATGCACGTCAGTTCTTCAAAATGTCAAGGCTATTATTCGTGAACGTGGACATCACGAAATATTAAACTATTAAATATTAATTCGGCTTTAATATTAATTCTCTGCGTGCGAGTTTTTAAAAAATTAAGTCCATTCATTATTCAGTCAGATTGATGAAGACGACAAAGACCAATACTCTTTTAATGAATACATCAAAAAGTAGAAAGGAACTGCTTCAAAACCATTATTTTTATTGAACGTTAAAACATTTTTTCTCCTTTTTACAATTTAAATTTACATTCTTTAAAATTCAAAGCGTTTTAGAATAATCTCTTTGTAGATATCAATATCCAATTTGTAGGCTACCCAGAAAAAATTGTTTACTGGTTCTCGAGGAAAACTACTAAACAAAATTCCTAAAACGATAGTCAGCAGAAAAAGGGCAATTTGCTGGTAAATTGGAGTAATAAAGTAAATTCCTGATGTTCGCACCCTTCTCGCATTTGAATAAAACTGACAAGATTCGCCAAATAAAACAAACGAAATTAAAGTGGTTCTTCAAATCACACCTCAGATTGAATAGTCATAACTAGACTGCGGATGTTTATGCAAAATAAAATCTTCACAAACGTGCCTACAAAAATTTAACCTAAATAGGAATTTATTATATTCTGCAAATATTTTAACGTGAATGTTACTTTCAATCTTTTTTATATTTTTACATATTGTTTGCATTTTGTAGGTTCTTGCACATTCAAATTTCTTATAAATGCATAAAGATCTGCAGTCTAGTCATAACTTTCACAAGACCCGATGTTTCAATCTTAGCGAAGGAATTCAGAAACAATTAATAACGTAATAGAACTAGTTCTCGCTGTTCTTAATGAGACCTGTTAACGACCAACGTCACAATGATCTATTTCATGGAGACTGTTAATAGGTTTCTAATTCCATACGAAAGTAGGTCTTCGTGTTTAAAAATAAACAAAACTACACAGCTTCTTTTGGAGAATTAATGTCACGAATTTAAGCGTAGGCTAACAAACATAGGTTCGGTATAGTAATATATGAATATGCTGGAATATTCCACAAAACTTCGTGGACGCAGAAATTGTCCGAAAGAACTTTTAAGATAAGAAAAATGGGATGGTTGCGGTAGTTTCGAGATCACTGAACCCCGGAACAACCGTGGACGACCGTGAACGCGTAACCTTGCAATTAATCGTCTTCCAGAGTGCCATGCATATTTATGGGAGTTTCTTTGTCCCGTGCCAAGGCAGTGTAGTTGTACGATAAAGAACGTTCATTTCTTTATGTTTCTCGATCGATCTGTTTTCACGCTACACGTAGAAGGATCGATCGGTCGATCGACCGATACGCACTTTCCACGGGATGCCGATTTAGGTCTCGGCTGTTCATTTCAATTCAATCGCGTTCGAATTCCAACTGAAACGCCCTTGCAAATAAAGAAATGTCTACTTAACTACTATGATGTGCAAGAAACATTTAAAAACACATTTGTTTATTGGTACAAAAATGTACTCTAATGAATGTAGAATATTTTTTTGAAATTACGTAAATTATAATGAAACCACGACAGTCGTAAAATCGAACATTCAAGTTCTCTGTCTTCGAAGCTGAAGAAATAAGTGAAAAACGAAATAACGATGAGATAATTGGCCAAGAGAGAAATGCATGACGATTACGATTGCCTTAGCTACGATTGAAATAATGATGGCCAGGACACTCTCGCGAGTGTTCTCCAAGATGGAGATGTTGCATTACCTCTCCCATACAAAGAGCTAATTTCGCGTGTTCTGTTTTAACGAAAAAATATATGACTGACTAAAGATGCGACAGAAAAAAACATCACTGAATGTACAAGAGAAAAAGAAGTAGCTGATTGGAAGAGAGGTAGTAACCTGACATTCGTATTTATATCTAATAATTCTTACAACAGAACCGAAATAAACTATTACATCACGACTTTGGGACAGACTAATCGACTAGGTTTATGAATAAACTGCTCTTACTGTTAACGCCAGTTAAGCTATCGAACGCTACGATCTTAACAGTTCCAGCATAAAAGTGACAAAGTTTGCCTCGTTGAATATCACGAACCTGTCTACAACTTCGGACCTTCGCTTTTCATCGTCCATTGCCCTCTTCGACCCTTCACTTACCAATGTCCATGATGTTTCAGGGTTCCTCATTTTTAGGATGCTGGCATCGTGCGTATATCATGTTTTCCCACGGAAACGACTAATCATGTTCAAGAGAAAAATACTACGTCAGTACTGGAACAACAAGGAAACTTTTGGTTGCACCTACTGTTTTTTGTTTCGTTTTTTTTACTCTCACAGAATTGAACAATTTTTTGTTATTTATCTATTACTCGTTACTATTACTTCGTTGCGTCTATCTTGTTTTCTATTTTTTACATTAAAAATTGTGAAGACTTTATAAAAGAGCTTTTCAATAATGTTTATAACATTTTCGTGTAGTTGCCCAAGGTCATCAAGTTTACTAACTTATGCGCGTTAATGGTATTAACTGGATGTAGTATGCACACTAGAATTTATTAGACGACAGTAAATACGGAGATCTTGATTTTAATTTATGCAATAGCGTAACAAAAAATATACGCGTATTATAGTCTTCCAGAATTTTCTGAAAATGTAAACAATTCACGGTTTCTTTTTTATGTATAATGCAAAGATATTTGCAGTGCTTATAAATTGTTTTCGTACTCTTATGTTTCAACATATCAGTGAGGTCAGTCGTGCATCGTTGTAACTGCATGAATCGTTATAACATTACTGCAACATTGTCAAGCAAAAATTTCCGAAAAAGATAATATTTCTTTTTCTTTAATACTATGCATATTTGCAAATTTTATACGTAATCTTGAATACGTAATCAGGCATATTTTAATTCGTTGATTCATGTCTAGTCATCCTATCTAGCAGGAATAATTCCAATAAAAAGATAGGAACATAATAATAATAATAATAATAAAAAAAAAAAACAGATCCAATAATTTGTACATGTACAATATCACAATGGACATATTTATTTATTTCAAGTAAAATTTACAATCATCAATACCGGTGTGTATAGTTATAACGGCGCAATTGCAAATAATGCACAAAATCTCTCTAAATGAATAAATAAATAAATACAATTTTCGTTTCTCTACTTATCACAATACAGTGTTACTTATTTAGTAACTATACGACATATCAAATTTTACGATTACACGTCTCATTGCTATAAAATAATCGAATACATTTTCGCGTCTTTTACTCAATGGAAATTTACATATTGTAAGCTTGAACTTATTAGAGGTTAGAGATTCATCTTGGTTATGAAAAACGGCTTTGTCCGCGAAATTTTTGGTTGCGATTGGCATCACGTAACCACCACGCACATAAATCATCTACATTTCATCCCTTATATTTTATTCAACGCGAAGCCTGTAGCTGAGTCAGGCGGAAAACCATCGTTTCAATGAAAGAACGTGCTTTTCAAGGCACACAAACGTGATCGAAAGCATTTTTACTTTAACCCTTTCTTAAAAATTAGTTATTTAAAAGAAAGAAAGTTATCTCTTCTGTTAAGGTATTCGCTTTTGATATTTGAGAGCTAAACTGTTCAACGGTGGTCTCATTTTTGTAATTCCAAGATCTATAGCATGGCCAGTTAAAGGACAACTTTGGCACCGTTTCTTTTTGTTTGCGTTTTGAACATTCTTTTCTTGATGCACGATGTATCGAGGAAAGTAATGCATACGTTTTCGCTGTAGAGTGGCGCAAGCTGGCATCGTCACAACCAAGTCTTTCTTGTGAATTCTTTTAGCAGGTTCTGGGAAAAGTCTATCATTTAACAGATACTGTTCTAAAGAACCAGAAGATTTAGATGACAACAGAGTATGTCTCGATCCATGAGTATCGAAGTAGTTTTGCTCCCGGAATTTTCTTAACTCCTTCACTTCGTCGTCCGAAAGATATTCTTCGTCGCTTTCTTCTCGTCTATCATTTACACAAACGGTGTGTTGATAATCTTCCGAATCAATATTGTCTTTTTCCACAGTAACTTTTGAAGGGACGACCTTATTTTTGTGGCAACAGGGACATTCTTTGTTGAACAGTTGCGACGCTCTTTTACTCTTAACCGATGTTTTTGAATTTGATTTAGTCTTTTTCAAATCAGGTACAGATTTCTTAGAAGAAATGGTTCTCTTAGTTACGAGTTTAGGTCTCGATTGTTTTTTCAGTGACACTTGAACGCCTTTACTGGACTTGGCTACGTTATCAGATACGAAACTTTGTTCTTCTTCTATGGTTCCTGAATGTGTAGATGTTACAGGCAATGATCTAGATTTTGTTACGCGAGTCGTAGTTTGCGATTCCATTTTATCAGTTCGATCTGTACTCTGCAAGTTTTTCCTGGTCATAAATTCATGATAGCGTGGCGACCTAGTACACGTGTCTGGACAATCTCCTGTTGCTGCAGTGTGTAGGACGGAAACTTTGCTTTGGACATTACGAAGAAACTGAGATCTCGGGGCATAGTCTATTTTTTGTACTCGACGCAAAGTTTCGCAACTGATCGGTGAAGTTAAGACTGGTTTCTCGTCATTGTACTTCGCGAATGGCAAACGAATGTCAACGTGAGTTTTGCAGCACTTGCAAGGCAAATGCTGTTTGTATTGGGTTCTTGGGGATCGCAGTTGCACCTTTTTAGTGTGAGGATGGCAATAACACTCCTTTACAGGTTTCCTTGGTATAGTTTTCGAACATTGTTCTTCACAATGTTTTTTTGACGTAATTAATACTCTTTTGGATTTCGATATATTAGGCATTCTTGCAAGCATATGGTTAGAGCTATGGTAAATATAATCTGGATGCAGAAGTGCATCAACCCCGCTGGAATCATTTCTTAATTTCCATGATTTACTAGCTTCTCTGTAACGAAAGGTTTCATCATGTGTCGCATGGTTTTCATAATTTTCTCTCTGCGTCCTACAAATGAAGAATAATATACAATAACAGGAAATAAATCAATCAAAATACAGTTGTCTAGACAGTGAACAATACTTACGAATTTTGTGAGTGTAATTTTTTAATTTCTTTCTTAACCTTTTTGGAATGTTTATTAGCTTTTGCTAGTAAGAGTCTGCTTCTTTTGCGCAAATTATCTATGCGTTCATCCAAGGTCTCATCCATAAGATTACGGCATCCTCTATATTATAAATTCTTAAACAGAAATTAAAATAAAATTACAGCCTTCGACTTGTTAGATATTACGACTCATTGGACCTTTTTATCATTGATATCTGTCTCTTACCTAACTAAAGTGCAAAAAACCGTTGAAATTCGCTGAAGTTATTAACACTTCTCGATTATTAATCATTTTTCCTCGCATTTGCAATTCTTTAAAGTATCGACAGGGTATTTCGCGTTTCAATGAAAGCGATTCACGATAAAGTGTTTATTTTTATTTTAGCTCCTGAAGTTTGGCGAGCGTCCATGTAAACAGAAAGATGCCAGGGTCAGGCTTACCATGACAGCGTGCGATTTTAATTTCCCGCCTGTTATTGAACAACACACGGTGAAAGTTAAACGCATGCTGGAAGAATGATTGCACGATCATATACGCGAAATAGGAAGGCAACCAACCACCCCGAGGACCAGTTTAAACGACAAGAAATATAAACAATAAGTTAACAGGACACTACAACCTCCTATAAAAGGGAATGGTCAATGGTAAATATTATTTATAATTATTGTTAGATGTGAGAAATTTGTTTTCTAATTGTAAGAGTATGTATATACATATAAGAATGAGAAGATTTAATTTACAGTGGACGATAATAACTAAATGAATTATTATTCTTATTATTAATATTACTAAAACAGGAGAAACATAATAGTATACGTGAAAATTCGATTTCACCGAATTCGTTCATTTCTCATTCTTTACGAGACACTCTGTCCCAAATTAAAAAAAAAAAATTAAAAAAAAATGTATACCAAGAAGAAAACCGGTAAAATGTCTGTTTTTATTCTATCTCTTGAAGTTCGTCGAGCGTCCAACTGTAAACAGAAGATCCGACGCAGTGTTGCCACGACAGTAGGATAATTTTTTCTCATCGCGCACTTTTTTTTTCTCACGAATGAAATAAAAAACATCGTTCTATTCCGCGTCGCGCCTTCGAAGGACGGGAATTTCTTGGAAAACCCGTAATTCGGGAGTCTCGATTATGCATTACAGAAGCCGTTCGCACGTGTACCGAGCGACGCGAGCCAGCGTCCAGGCAGTGCTTTATCGCAGCCATGTTGGAGGAACGCGTTGGACGCGGCGTACGTTACGATGTACCGTCGCTTCAGAATTGTTTTTTAATTTAATTAACCGTACCGTGCTTTCCACCGATGCTCCAACTCGAAAGTAACCCGTGGTTTCGCTAGACGTGGGCAATATGAGATTGAAAACGTGATCGTTGTTACTTTACTCTGTCGGTGCCGCTGGTTGACGGTTATTAGAGGTTATAAACGCTCTCGCATGTTTTAATCGCTGCAGCGCGTACGCTTCACGATCATTCACGGTGAAATGAATTTCTCTGGGAACAACATTATCCAGGGAGCTCTCCCACAGTTCTCGGAGCTAACGTCTGGAACGAACACAATCCCCACGTCGAAATTCACCAGTGGCGATAATACCGTTCACATAGAACACGCGTCTGTTTATACCACTGCCGCTGGATCGAATCAGATGAAACAAACTCTGTTGGTGAGACTCGATGTACCATTCTGTTCAGATTTCATAATTGGAATTACCCAGAGTTCATCTTCTCATTCAATATTTTCTGTTTTTTAATGGACTTTTAGAGTAACATGTATGCTCTCTTTCCAGATGAATTCAGCAAACAAATACACAGGACCAATAATCGCCTGGCCAGATCCGAATACATTGATGCAACTCTGCGAAAAGCAGGGCATTCAAGCCATTAACATTCCTAATTATAATCAAAATAATTCTATCCTTACTGTTCAAGCGAACAGTTTGCCAATGAGGATCATACCCAACATGTACTTGCCTTCAACTTCGCAGCCAGAGAACGTTAAACACGAGTTAGAAGTAAGGACAGAGGGTGAAATGAAAACGTCTACTATGCAAGATTCGCAAGCTCAACTCCAACAGCAAAGTGCCATGGCAGAGTACTTTCAAAAGTTGCAGGCTACTACGCTTCCATTGACGTTGCAACAGCTAATTAAATTCCAAACAGAACAAACTAAGAAAGATAAGACCGAGGAGGAGAAGGTGGAACATACACAGAACAATATTCTCAACATTCCCAGTGTTCCGGTGTTCAGAAATACTCAGTTACAAAATGGAAATACTTTCATGAATTCCGATCAAATGATGACGACCATCAATCCAAACGACCTAAACGTACACATAGAGAACCAGCAGGAAAATGATAACACGACGGTGCAGAGTATAAAAGTCGAACAACAGCTGCAGACAGATTCGCCTAAAACTGAGAAAAAAATGAAATTCAGGGCTAAAACTGGAGAGATCAAAATCAGCGTTGCCTTGGATGGTTCGACACTTTATTGCTGTCCCGAGTGTAACCTAGCATTTCCAGATAAGACAGAGATCGAACAGCATATACAGGCTCATATACAAGTGTGTATCTAATTTAGAATGTTATGGAATGAGTAAATTATGAATCACTTATTCCCCTTTATTTTTTTAAGGAACGGAAGTATCAGTGCAAGGAATGTGGCGCGATGCTAAAAAGAAAGGAGCACCTGGATCAACATATGCGTGGTCACTCGGACGAAAGGCCGTTCAAGTGTCCCGTGTGCCAAAAAGCGTTCAAGAGAAACGAACACCTAACGAGGCATTACGTGATTCATTCTGGCGATAAGAATTTCACGTGTTCAGTATGTCAGAAGGCCTTCTCTAGGAAGGATCACTTGAACAAACACACTCAAACTCATTTAGGGATCAGACGCAACCGAATTAAGAAAGAATCGTTTTTCATGGAACAGAAAGATTCTTTCGAAAAGACTAGCGAAGTTTCCGCATTGCCTAAACAAGAAGTGAACTTTGTACTGAAGGATGGTTTCGTGAAGCAAGAACCGAATTTCCTTCAGTACATTCAAAATCTGCAGAAAGATCAAAATTTGATTCACACGTTTTCCTCGTTCAAAGAACAGGCTATGAAAGAAGCGAATATTTTGCAACAGCAAGCTGTCAATATGAACGAAATATTGCCTCAAAATACAAGGTACTTAATGCCGTCTTAGTCATAAATCAATTTCGCGCGAGTCCAAAGCAATAAAGGCTGTTTACGAAGTGCGTCGAGGTTAGCACAAATAGAAAATTCGTTAGACACGTTAGGAATTGGAGCATACCTTAGAACTCGAATTTGAATCTTTAAAACGAAAACAATTGGGAGAGCACTACGAGAGTAAGGTGCAATTTAATGAATTCTCTCGAATTCTGACAAAAATGATCGGTGACTTGGTCATCAGTGATTTTGTTCCGACAGACTATGAATCTTAGCCTGTTTTTTGTTCTGTGAAGAAACAAAATTGTACATTCGAATCCGATTAGCATTTAGTTTGCCACGAGGAGTACCTTACGCTGAAGTAAGAACTAAGAACTATAATTAACTTTCATTCAGAGATGGAGACGATTTTATTCGAATAATACGTAACGAAGGGAGTTGGTTGTTATTTGACCAAAATTTTGCCCATCTCAGATTTCATTACTTGCATGAGATTGATACTTAATTCCTCGAGATCGTTTGCTGCATTGGCAGCTTGAACAAGTCTAATACCGATTTGGTACTTGAAATAAGAGGAAACAAGTTATCTGTGTACGTGCGCGCCGTCTGTTTTATTTAAACTAGCTTTAAAGCAAATAGTTTGTTTACTGATTCTAGTCCATGATCACAACAATTAAGATTAAATACCTCGCACGCGAACAGTGAATTCACGTTTTGCGTGGGTTTTTGATCTAGCATGGAATACAATTTGGATCGTGATGTACGATCGATACTGCTGAATGATACATATAAAGCCAATCTGCCATTAGGATAATGACTTCTTGGAACGAGTACCAATAGCAATTAATAGAATACTGCCGATAAATGTTATACAATTTGTAGAATAATTATGTACATAAATACGATACAAATTTTACCTGAAGGAGACTCAATAGGTACGTTGTTTAAACTTGATCTCTGATTCGTCCGTGTTCATCTTTAACAAGTGCTTAGCGCGTATTTTTAAGTAATAATTCATCTTCACTCGTTCATACTTTAGCGTATATTTTTTTTTTTTTTAACTTTTTCATGCACGAAGTATTTTGAAAAGGTATTCTTTATAAATATAGTTTTCGATATCTTTATTCTAACTCTTTTTTTATGATTAACATTGCCTATTGTAAGGAATCATGGTACGATTTTTTTTATATTTCGCTTGCATTGGTACATCTAATGCAAAAGTATCGTTCGACGCTGTATAATATTTCAGTACTCATTTGTCTTGATATGATGAAATGAGTCTTTTTATAATCAGTATTATATAATTTTCAGTGTTCCCATTATTTTCATCATGTGTATATTATTATGCATGAAAAAGTTAAACTTTCTATTGACATTTGATACAAATCACTGTTTAAAATCTCTTTTTATTACGCAGCTCATTTTTTTTTGTATTCACTCAAACATTCTATGAACGTAACTGGAAAGAATAAATTGCTCAAAATTAATTTCGAAAATATTAGGAATTTTTTCCAGCTACTGTAGAACGAAAAATTTGTGATTATGTTGACAATGACTAACATCTTTCAGACTTTTTTTTTAGGTGTACTAATGAGATTAGAACGAATAATTGCGGATGGCACTAAGATAAGACTCATGCCGCGTCATAATAGAACCAAAGACTTTGATTGTATGAGACATAGCAGTATTTTATCTCTTCTTCCTAAACTTTTTTCAATTGTCAGATTTTCTGGACCCATGATAGTCGGCGACGAATCGTTCCCTAAAATTTGACTGGATTTCCGGATATTGGAATTCCTTTAAGTGGTTTAATAACCGTGGCGCTCGTACCCCACTATCCTGGGCCGAGGAAACAGCGTTTACCCTTTTCAATAAAATTAATTAGACGTTTAAGATACTGATGTTCGGAATCATGGCCACCCGAGTGAGCATCATACGTAAGGCGATACAATGATAAAATATTTTAGCAATGAATACGCATTTACAAGGTGTTACTCGATGAACGATTGTTACTGTATGATACAATGATTGCCAAAAAGATGATGAACAAATGGTAACACATGTATTTTTCAGACCAAGATATTTTTGAATAAAATAAGTGTAAAGAGAATGTTTGCTTACCTTCCTATAGCATACATTTTATTTTTTATTAGAAATTAATGACTCATTGTACAATATACTAATTAGATGTAAATGTTTGTAAATAATTTATTTTAACGAAAGATGGGATACAATGTCAGTTAAGTAAGTACAAAGTCAGTTTTCATTTTTTAAATTACAATTATATTTCCATGATTAATTGTTTACGATTGTATTATTGCTGTAAATAGCCCTGGCTAATTTAGAGTAAACTCCATACGTGACACCCAACAGCGACCCGAGCCAGTCGACCAGATGCCTGCTCAGCGTAACAGGAAACTGGAAACTTGGTTTCGGAGTGATAAATTCAACTTCCAGATTCTTATCTTGTGTTTCTTCTTCTAGGTCCAGAGGTTCGAGGGGTTCCAAGCGGTCCAGGGGTTGAATGTCGTTGACCCAATCGTCGTCAGACAAGAACGTTCGCTCTGTTTGACGAGACCTTTCAGAGCTGATGTCTGTTGCCAGAATTTTCTCTACGTTGCTAGTGTTCTCTGGCTTTCGAAACACGAAGTCGTACGTGGCCCGCAATTTTCCCAGGAACCTGTCCAACGGTTTCATCTCGTTTGTTCGCTGATGGTACTCTATCGCCTCCTGGACTGGAAACAGCTTCGTTATCTGTGGCTTCGATTGCACTCTCGATCCGGAGAGCTGAAAACGTGGATTAACTTATTTGTATTCGTTATTGGGGGACAATAGGAAAGGAACACTGTGTGTACACTGACGACACAAAATTAGGACATGCAAACTTGGGTTGCGATTTGTCGTCCAAGAATGAATGGAAATTGTAGAACATCTGTTTCTTGTGGATATAGATTTGAATTCAGATGTCGTTTCAAGGTCACTTCGTTTAATATTTGAACAAATTAGAGAATGTTCAATTGAGCTTATAGTTCCTTAATTAGAAATTGATTTCAATTCAGTTAATTAGAGCGTTGATATTAAACAAAGGAAAGATTAGTTCTTTTATTTTTTCGTTTGAACTTGCCCGCTTTCACTACTGCAATTAAGTGCACAGGCCGAGAAATTAATTTCTTATCGAAACTAATGGAGCATTAACTTTTTCGATAAACTGTTCTTATAGTTATCGCTTTTTGTTCAGTACTCACGCAAAGAAGACAAAGTCCTAGAAAAATAGCCTTCATGTCGCCCGATGTCTCGATTATTTCTTCTATTCGAGGCGATCCAAACGACTGAAGGACCCATTGATTTCAAAATCCATTTATACCGCCGTGCGATGCACCAGCGTAAAACCGAGCCACGACTAATTCGATGGAGCTCGCGTACTTATTGTTTCCCGTCCACGCCTTTGCTTTCTGGACAAACCATTGACACAGAATTGCTTAACGAATTCGCCATTCGGAGCACGTATCGCTGCTTCGTGGGCTCTGGCAACTCATATTGTCGAAGCAATAAACAATATCCTCCCTCGTTCGAACTGCAGGTCAAGGTTCATTGTGAAAATTTTAGGAGTTTTCATTGCCGCGATGTCCAAACCATGGAAGTGACAGTCGAGGGACAATATATTATCACAGTGTTTATATTATAGGGATAACGTATGATGAAATATTTGTTTATTTTATATGCAGTAAGAAGGATAAACTTTGCATGTCTCGTCGTAGTCATTGATCAGATTGGCTCACATCTCTTTCGACTTTCTTTTATTTTAAATTGTCTAATCATTAATGTTCATACATATCGACCTTAGTATTTCTGGTAGTGGCTTTACGGGGAATGTATAAATATTGCAACGGTACCGAAAACATCAAGTATGATTCAACGTCATTGTATTCACAATTAATTAATGTAACTGTGAATCATTCGAGTGACTCGAAATGCGCACGATAACGTAGCGTGTCCTGTTCGTAAGAATCGGCAACGTTGAATCCTCATTTATCTACGCAGTGTCCTACATTACTAACAGAGTCATTTGTCTTATCGATCAAATGTTTCACATTATTTAGTCCTAAAAAAAGCGAATAATTGATTCTTAAAGCACAAAGCATCGAGGAGAATAGGTATACAAGTATTGTTTTAGTGAATTTACAACTAAAATTGTTTCATTTTAGTCGTACGTCCTTTGACGCAGATCAATCAATTTCATCTACGTCTATACCTGCTCCAAAATTTTGGATGCCACGGGTTATCGATTAATCGTAAACTCGAGAGACCGGTCATTCGTTTAATAGTATCACGGGTTAGGGCGAGTAGCGAAGAGGCAACACAGGCCTCAGATCCTTGTTGAGGGTACTCGAAGGGTTGTTAAGATCCCGAATGGTTTGGTTGGTCTTCAGCTTCGCGTCGTCTCTGGTCAGTTCGTTTCGCTCCAAGACCTTATCTAGGATCTTCTTGAGCTGCGGAGCGACTCCACCTTCGGCAGAGGTCATCAGTACGTTGAGAACCTCGTCAGAGTAGCCTGTGTACTTGCCGAATCCTTGCTTTCTCGCGTCTTTGCTGAGGGAGTCGTATAGGCTGGCGAGGTGCTGAAGAGTCCCACTCGGCGGCACTTTCGAGCGCCTCAAGTAGCTGGTTAGGCTTGGCCTTGGCACTTGCGTGACCTTCTCGCCGAGACGCGTGAACCTGCAATGAAACGTCGAAGAGCTTATTATTGACCATTATACCATCTTCTTTGTATCTAACTTTTTTTTTCTGTCTTTTAGGTGCTGCTGAAGAGGATGGAAGCATAGAGTTTTGAGTCGAAGAATCTGATATCATAGTCCATCGTCATTCACGAAGCATGGAAGATGAAGAAGGCAACAGGAACTTCGAAGCGAGATCGTTTAGTGGTCAGGTCAATTGTTATCTTCTGTTTCTGAAGTACTTTTTTTTCAGGTGCGGCTGAAGAG